AATGGCTTTATCAATAGGATTGGCCTGTCTTGGATCCTGCTTCAGATGTTCCTAAAATCTCTCAAACAAGCAGCATCTGGTCTCAGGGAGGCCCATATCTCTTGTTAAGTGGCTCCAGCCCTGGCACTAGAAGCAGCCAGCCTTGGTTCACAACTTGGCTTTTCCTGAGCACCTCCAAGCCCAGCACAAGCAGCAGCCTTCAACAGATCACTTTGTAGCTTATGCCGGGTGGCCCCAGGTAGAACACAGGCAGTGGCTGACCTTGCTCCAGAGCCAGCACACCCAGGGGACAGCTTCAGACCACATCGAAACACCACCACCCAACTACCTCCACAAGTGACACACTCAAGGAGTGGACTCAGTGGGTACCAGAACCCTGCTGGAGTACGTCTTGCTCTGTGTGGTGGGCTCCTACACAGCTGATCCTCCAAGGTAGTCAGCGGTCAGTGGTCAGTGGGCACAGCCAGTCCTTGCAGCTGATCAGCCTGAGTAAACCCCTTCCATTGACATGCCAGCAGCAATCAAGACTCAACTACAACAGAAGGGCGTACAGTGCACACTAGGGGTGCACCTCGAGGGCCCAGCTGGTGTGATAAGGCAGGCTGTGCCACTGGATCCTACAGGACACCTACAGTAATAGGCCACCCTATGACGCCTAGGAGACATAGCTCTACCTAATACACACACAGGGTAGCAGCCAAAATGAGGAGACAAAGAAACATTTCCCAAAAGAAAGAAAAGAACAAAACTCCAGGAAAAGAACTAAGCAAAATGGAGATAAGCAATCAATCAGATGCAGAGTTCAAAACACTGGTTATATGCCCTGGCTAGTTTGGCTGAGAGGTTGGAGCGTCAGTGCGGACCAGACAGTCCCAGGTTCAGTTCCCGCTAGGGGCATGTACCAAAAAAATAAAAAATAAGACAAACAAACAAACAAAAAAACACTGGTTATAAGGATGCTCAAGAAACTTAGTGAGAACTTCAAGGAACTTAAGGAGAACTCCAAAGAACTTACTGAGAACATCAACAACATAAAAAAGGACCAGTCAGAAATGAAGGATGCACTAACTGAAATAAGGAATAATTTACAGAGAATCAATAGTAGAGTAGGTAAAGTCAAGAAGCAAACCATCGATTTGGAATATAAGAAAGCAAAAAACACCCAACAGAACAGAAAAAAGAAGCCAAAAAAATGAACGTAGTGTACAGGGCCTCTGGGACAATGGCAAGCATGCCAACATTCACAATATGGGGGTGCCAGCAGGAGGAGAGAGAGAGCAAGAAATTGAAAATGTATTTGAAAAAATAATGACAGAAAACTTGCCTAACTTGGTGAAGGAAACAGACAAACAAATCCAGGAAACACAGAGAGTCCCAAACATGATGAACCCCAAGAGGTCCACACCAAGACACATTATCATCAAAATGCCAAAGGTTAAAGACAAAGAGAGAATCTTAAAAGCAGCAAGAAAAAAGCAATTTGTTATCTACGAAGGAGCTCCCATAAGACTGTCAGCTGATTTCTCAAAAGAAACTTTTTAGGCCAGAAAAAAGTGGCAAGAGATATTCAAAGTAATGAAAAGCAAAGACCTACAACCAAGGTTACTCTATCCTGCAAAGCTATCATTTAGAATTGATGGCCATATAAAGAGTTTCCCAGACAAGAAAAAGCTAAAGGAGTTCATCACCACCAAACCAGTATTATATGAAATGTTGAAGGGTCTTCTTGAAGGAGAAGAACAAAAATATGAACAATAAAATGGCAATTAATACATATCTGCAACAATTGAATCTACAAACAAAATGAGCAAACAGAACAGAAACAGACTCATAGATACAGAGAACTTTTTGTTGCTTGCCAGATGGGAGGGGGCTGGTGGGATGGGTGAAAAAGATAAAGAAATTAAGAAGTACAAATTGGTTGTTAGACTGATGAACCTCAAAGGGAAGGGGGGGAGTGAGGGCAGGAAGAGATAAACCAAAGAACTTATCTGCATACATGCACAACCAGTGGACACAGACAATAGTGTGGGGAAAGTAGGAAGGGGGTGGGATTGGGGAGGAGGGGGTCAGTGTGGGGAAAAAAGAGGGTCGTCTGTAATACATTCAACAATAAAGATAAATTAAAAAAGAAAAAGAAAGTCAACCTCAAAATTCCATAATTAGTCCCATTATTAGGCATAACTCCCGTTACTCCCATATTTTCATTCTCTAATTTAAAAAATTTTCCTTTCTTGCCCTCACTTCTAAAAAGCCATCAATACCATAATTGATCTCCTCCACAGCTCTCAGAGATACTATTGCCAAGTGCTCATTTGGCATAATTACCCATCTTCCTTTTACAAGAGGTCCTGATTTTAATTCAGGTATTGCCCTATGGGCTTCAGGGAAAACAAACTCCATCCTGATACAAGGGCAACCAATGATGGTGATCAGTTTGGTTTAAGCCAATCTCAACATTCCATCCAGGGGAAAGTATGTGATTTCACATACTTGGAATTCTCTCTCTCCCACTAAACATGAACAAAGAAGCATAACGCACCAATTACTTTGACAGCCACCTTCTGATACCACCAATAGCAGAACAGACAGAGAGAAAGAAACAGTTTTTGGTGTTATCACTGGGTGAAAACCAAAAGGCACTAAAGAAGCCTTGGCCCGCGGGGCTCAGTGGTTAGAGTGTCAGCCTGTTCACTGAAGGGTCCCAGATTCCATTCTGGTCAAAGGCAAGTACCTGGGTGGCAGGCTCAACCCCCAGCCAGTTGGGGGTGTGTTGGGGAGGCAACCTATATATGCGTCTCTCTCACATAAGTGTCTCTGTCTCCCCTTTTCCCTCCCTCCCACTCTCGCTAAATAAACCAATGGAAAAAAATATCATCCCATGAGAATTAATAAAAAAAGAAAGACACTAAAGAAAACACACTTAAGCCCTGGCCGGTTTGGCTCAGCGGTTAGAGCGTTGGCCTGCAGTCCAGAGGGACCTGGGTTCGGATCCCGCTAAGGGCACGTACCTTGGTTGCAGTTTGTCCCCGGCCCTGGTTGGGTCTTGTGGGTGGCAGCCACTCGATGTGTCCCTTTCACATCGATGTTTCTCTCTCTCTCTCCCTCCCACTCTATCTGAACAAAAAAATGGAAAAATGTCCTCTGGTGAGGATAATTGTCTCTACCACTAGCATCTACTAGTAAATATACATTACAGGATTGCCTTAGGTTATTTTCCAAAGAAGAAAAACTCACAGATAATAACAGGTTTTACTGCAGTCATTGCAGAGCTTGAAGGGATTCTCTAAAAAAGATAGATATCTGGACTTTGCCACCTGTGCTTTTAGTGCATCTGAAATGTTTTTCCTATGATGGCAGGTGGAAGCAGAAATTACAGAAATCTGTGGACTTTCCTTTAGAAAATCTTGACTTGTCACAGTATGTTATTGGTCCAAAGAACAGTTTGAAGAAATACAACTTGTTTTCTGTTTCAAATCACTATGGTGGATTGGATAGAGGCCACTACACTGCCTATTGTAAAAAATGCAGCAAGACAGCGGTGGTTTAAATGTGATGATCATGAAGTTTCTGATATCTCCGTGTCTTCTGTGAAATCTTCAGCAGCTTATATCCTCTTTTATACTTCCTTGGGACCATGAGCAACTGATAAAGCCACATAAGAGGAAGTGGGTTATAAACTAGTTGTCTTTTAAATGGCTGAGCAACACAGCTCTTGAAATACTTATAAAAGATACTGGACAGCTTATAGCTGGCCATTCAGAGGATTCTGAGACAGTGAGAGCTGTGTCACCATCACCATGTCTTTCAGGTCAGGGCTATTATAAAAAACCCAACTAATAACATTTAACAATATTGCATTCAGCACTTCTTAGAGGTACCGTTTATTCCATAATAGCTTTTTTTAGTTTGTTCCAAAGCAACTAGCTAAGCATTATTCTACTGGTCTAAAAACCCTTGTATCTTTTATTTTCATTTTCACTGTTATGGCCTTTTCACATTTCTAAATCTCAGCTTCATCTATGAACACTCTAGAATGATATAAAGCAGATAGGAATGTATGTGTATATATTTATTGCACACTTGCACATCAAATCGATGTACATAGTATCATAACTCAAGGGATTGCCTTTTTTTAACTTTTGGCCTATTCTGAGTAACTTCAGTGCTTTCTTAGGGAAACGACAGGACAAAGCTATTTTTCTTTTGGCTTTGGGCTGTATTTGTGCACTAAATCATTCTAAAAAAATAAATGGAAACTTTTGTCTAAAATGAAAAATTTCATTTACACCTACATTAAAATCTTAATGAGAAAAATAATTTAAAACCTAAAAAAAAAAAGAAAAGAAAAGAAAACACACTTAAGGACTCATTCCCATCACAGGCAGTCAGGAAAAGGCGAACCGGTTTGAAGAGGAAAGTGAAAGTGACTTCTGGAGCGCCGGCAATGCTGTTTCTGGATCCGAGCGCTTGGTTCCGCGGGGTGTGTTCCGAGTGGGTCAAATCGCTGAGCTGTGCGTGTAGGATCTCTGCACTTTTCTGTATGTAGTTATAATCCACTACAACTTTTATTTGTTTGTTTGTTTGTTTTATTTATAGGTACCCTTTCCCATGGAGGGACTGGAATTCTTGGAATTCTGCCTAAACTCCTTCCGTTCTGGTTTCACCAGGAACCGATTACCCAACAACTTCCACTTCGACAAGGGAGAGTGGATTGAGGCCGAGCAGCATCCTCGGGTTGGGCGCCACACCCAGCGCTCGGGCCGTCCCTGCCCTGCCTGCCCGCGGTCAGGAGAGCCGCCTGGTGCTTTGACCTCAGACGAGTCGGGAGAGCCCGGCGCGTGGGCCACGGCTCTGAGCCCAGACGTCTCCACAGGCGACCCGGCCACCGAGCGCCCCCTGAGCCCGCGAACGCCCGCCCCCTCCGACCTCCCGGCGCGCTCCCCGCGGCCGCGACGGCATTCCCTGCTGGCGGTCCCCACGGGGCAGCACGCGGCCGCGATGGCGGCGACAGTAACGGTGGGGCCCGCGGGCCGCTGCCAGTGGGACGAGGCCGTGCGCATCGTCGTGCGCGGCCTGACCCCGGAGCAGTCGGTCACGCTGCGAGCGTCCCTGCGTGACGAGAAGGGCGTCCTCTTTCGGGCCCACGCGCGCTACCTAGCCGACGCCGGCGGCGAGCTGGACCTGACGCGCGCGCCCGCGCTGGGCGGCAGCTTCGCGGGGCTGGAGCCCATGGGGCTGCTCTGGGCCCTGGAGCCCGAGAAGCCTTTCTGGCGGTTTCTGAAGCGGGACGTGCAGACGCCTTTCGTCGTGGAGCTGGAGGTGCTGGACGGCCACGAGCCCGACGGAGGGCGGCTCCTGGGCCGGGCGGTGCACGAGCGCGGCTTCCTTGCACCCGGGGTGCGGCGGGAGCGGGTGCGCGCGGGCCGGGTGCGCGCCACGCTCTTCCTGCCGCCAGGTGAGCCTGGGTTGCTGGGGTGCGGGAGCGTGTGCGCTTGGCCTTCGGTAGTTTCTGGTACGGCTTTATTTGAGTTTGGCTCAGGGGCACGGTTAGAGAAGTTGGCATTGACTGAATCATTGGCCGCACAACCAAAATAGAGTATTTTGATATGTTAGGCTCTGTGCTTTGCATTTTGTTTGCATAATCTCATTTAATCTGTATAATATCCCGGTGAAGTGGGTCCTGTTATTAGGCAGGTTAAAAAAAAACAAAAACAAAAAACAGGGTCAGAGGCGGTAGGTAGTGTTGTCCACTTTGCTATTTACTACCCTACAGATCTCTACAGCATCAGCCCTACAGATCTTAACACAAAATGATGGCCCGGCTATTGCCATGTCGCCGTTCTCTAGTGTCCTTGGGTACCCTGGGCCTCTTCTCCACTTCTTCATGTTCCTCTCTACCACAGATCACATTTCAGACTTTGCTGCCTTTCTCACCTAAAGTCATCTCTAGGTATTTTTCTTTCTTCTCTCTAAATATACAGCTGAAATATGAATACACACAAAAAAGGCAAGGGTTGATGCAATACAACATAAAACTTTGTTTCAAGATTCTTAATTCTATGTCCGTTTCTCTCACAGAACACAGCAAACCAAAACAGTTTTCTAAAACCTGAAAATCCTCCTTCCATGATAGAGTCCTTAATGAAGACTTTGTTATTCTTCTTATAATTAAAGATTCTTAGCCCTGGCCGGTTTGGCTCAGCGGTTGGAGCGTTGGCCTGCGGACCAGAGAGTCCCGGGTTTGGTTCCCACTAGGGGCACATACCAAAAAAAAAAAAGATTCTTAGAACCTTGCAGATAATTTATCATAGAATCACATGAAGGGTAAACTTATCAATGAGAAGGTACTTTGTAGATTTTCCTTCCCACAAGGAATTTGTTTTCCTTTTCAATATTGACTCAGGAAGCTGTTTTCTTCCCTTTGATTCATAAGAACCGACTAAATAATTTAGAAAGATCCCTAAAAGGAAAGCAAAATCTTTAAATTATTATAATACCTTCCCTTTATAATATTCCCTTCTCTAGGACCTGGACCTTTCCCAGGGATCATTGATCTCTTTGGTGTTGGAGGGGGCCTGTTGGAATATCGAGCCAGCCTTCTGGCTGGTCATGGCTTTGCCACATTGGCTCTAGCTTATTATGACTTTGAAGATCTCCCCAAGGAATTCAACAGCAGAAATATGGACTACTTTGAAGAAGCCGTGTGCTACATGCTTCAACACTCTCAGGTTCTCCTAATGTCCTTTATTGTATCATTCTCTCCAGATATATCTCCAGAAGGTGTTACTTTGCACTCACTTGTGCCAGCTGCACTGATGCTACTCTACTCTTTTTTCAGATTTCTTTTGGAGACTTCCGTAACTTTATGTACCTATTTTCACTTTCTCTGTCAGATGGATTAACAATGCAGAATTAATCATAAAATACATGTGAGATTTATTTTTTTTTTTTTATCCTCACCCGAGGACATTTTTCCATTTTTTGTTCAGATAGAGCGGGAGGGAGAGAGAGGAAGAGAGAGAGAGAGAAACATCGATGTGAAGGGACACATCGAGTGACTGCCACCCGCACAACCAACCAGGGCCGGGGACAAACTGCAACTGAGGTACGTGCCCTTAGCGGGAACCGAACCCGGGTCTCTCTGTACCGCAGGCTGACGCTCCAACCGCTGAGCCAAACCGGCCAGGGCCATGTGAGATTTTATTTAAAGGAATTATTTAGTAATATTAAAATTCCTTTTGTTACGGAGCTTCTAATTTGTTAGCTTTGCATACTTGTTTTTTAATCTTTTTCTGACAACAGAGTATGTTCTCAGATTTTGGTCAGAATTTGCCCACCCATTTCAGAAGCTAAGAACCACTAATTGGACTCTGAAATCTTATTTTGTTTGTATCAAGTTAATCATTTGCTGACCTATTAAGAAGGAGTCTGATGAAAGATTCACTTCTTGAAACAGAATTTAGTTCCACAGTTAGATACCCAGGCATGGTGAACTTGACAATCTCCATGACTCAGCATTCTCTAGTGGACATTCTCTAGAATGTTGTAACCAATTCCCAAACGTGCCAGTGAGTTTAACCTTTATTTGCTGTGTGTCCAGTCACATATGCTTTACTATGTGGGAAGAAACTCCTTTCAGCTTAGTTTGATTCTCTTGTGCCCAGTTCACAAATTAAAGCTAATGGCACATCGAGTTGCATTTATTTGTTTTTTTTTATCCTCACCTGAGGACGTTTTTCCATTTTTTGTTCAGATAGAGTGGGGGGTGGGGGGGAGAGGGAGAGAGAGAGAGAAACATCGACGTGAAAGGGACACATTGAGTGGCTGCCCACCCGCACGACCAACCAGGGCCGGGGACAAACTGCAACCGAGGTACATATCCTTAGCGGGAACCGAACCTGGGTCTCTCTGGACTGCAGGCACACGCTCTAACCGCTGAGCCAAACCGGCCAGGGCTCGAGTTGCATTTAGAAAAAAAAAAATTTCTATTGGGTAAGTTCTTTTTTTTTTTTTTAATCCTCGCCCGAGGAGCGGGAGGGAGAGAGAGGGAGAGAGAAACATTGACGTGAAAGGTACACATCGAGTGGCTGCCACCCGCACAACCCAACCAGGGCCGGGGACAAACTGCAACTGAGGTACATGCCCTTAGCGGGAACTGAACCCGCGTCTCTGTGGACCACAGGCTGACGTTCTAACCACTGAGCAAAACCGACCAGGGCTATTGGGTAACTTCTTGATTCTTGAATCTTCTCCCTTCTTGTCTTCCAGGTTAAAGGCCCAGGTATTGGCCTTCTGGGCATTTCTTTAGGGGCTGATATTTGTCTCTCCATGGCCTCATTTTTGAAGAACATCTCAGCTACAGTTTCCATCAATGGATCTGGGTTCAGTGGAAGCACAGCCATATGCTACAAGGACGCTTGCATCCCACCATTGGGCCATGACCTGAGGAGAATCAAGACGGCTTTCTCAGGCCTCCTGGACATTGTGGATGTACGAAATGATATTGTAGGAGGGTATGAAAACCCCAGCATGATTCCAATAGAGAAGGCCCAGGGACCTATCCTCTTCATTGTTGGTCAGGATGACCATAACTGGAGGAGTGAATTATATGCCCAAATAGCCTCTGAACGGTTACAGGCCCATGGAAAGAAAAAACCTCAGATCATCTCTTACCCTGGGACTGGGCATTATATTGAGCCTCCTTACTTCCCCATGTGCCCAGCTTCCCTGAACAGATTACTGAAAAAGCCTGTGATCTGGGGTGGGGAGTCCAGGGCTCATTCTAAAGCCCAGGTAGATGCTTGGAAGCAAATTCTGACCTTTTTCTGCACACATCTTGGAGATACCCAGAAAAGAGCTTGCCCCAAATTGTAATGCATTGGTCTGTTGTTGACATGAGATACAAGGTCAGATTCTAGTGCTTAATAATCTTTTTTCTTTAATCCTCACCGGAGGGTATTTTTCCATTTATCTTCAGATAGAGTGAGAAGGAAAGGAAAGAAGAGAGAGAGAAACATTGATGTGAGAGGGACACATCGACTGGCTGCCTCCCACACAACCCCAACCAGGGTCCGGGATGAACTACAACAGAGGTATGTGCCCTTGGTCAGAATTGAACCGGTGACTCATTGGTCTGCAGGCTGATGCTCTACTGCTGAACCAAACTGGCCAGGGCTGTTTAATAATCTTAAGTGAATAAATTGTCCCCTGAATAATATCAAATTCATATCATTGGTATTAATTTATATTTTAGGTAACTTTTTTCCACTAATTTTACTAATGTAACATATATCTATTGTAGAGGATTCAATTTATATAACAAAAAATAAAAACATCCTTCCTCACTGTTAAAATTTATGTTTTCTGCCTGGCCATTGTGGCTCCATGGTTAGAGCGTCGACCCATGTGCCAAGAAGTTACCAGTTCCATTCCTGGTCAGGGCACATGCCCAGGTTGTGGGCCCAATCCCCAACTGGGGCATGCAGGAGGTGGCCAATCGATGTTCTCTCTCATCGATGTTTCTATCTCTTTCTCCCTCCCTCTCCCTTCCTCTCTCTCTAAAACCAATAAAGGGCCCTGGCTGGTTTGGCTCAGCGGTTGGAGTGTTGGCCTCTGGACCAGAGAGCCCCGGGTTCGGTTCCTGCTAGGGGCACGTATAAAAATAAATAAATAAATAAAAGCAATAAAGGAAAAAAAAAATATATTTTTTTTTTTAATTTTTTTTTTTTTTTTTTTTTTATCCTCACCCGAGGACATTTTTCCATTTTTTTGTACAGATAGAGTGGGAGGGAGAGAGAGAGAGAAACATCGACGTGAAGGGACACATCGAGTGGCTGCCACCCGCACAACCGACCAGGGCCGGGGACAAACTGCAACCGAAGTACGTGCCCTTAGCGGGAACCGAACCCGGGTCTCTCCGGACCACAGGCCGACGCTCTAACCGCTGAGCCAAACCGGCCAGGGCAAAAAAAATATTTTTAATTTATGTTTTCTTCTAGATTTTTTTTACTTAACACTTTTAGCCATAGATGAAATAAAGCTGAACAAATACTGGGTTACTTTCTCCATCACTAGGAGAGAATAGCCATCCAGTGTTTGCTACTGGTTCAACTACTGATAGCAGAGTAGAATTTTCATTGGCCAAAAGTATACAGATAAATTTTTTTTTTCCTGTATCATAGTGGAGTTTTTTTGTTTTTTGCTTTTTCATTAACAATTTATAGTCAATTTATTATGTATTAGTTTCAGGTGTACAGCATAGTGGTTAGACATTTATATACTGTACAGTGTTTCTTCCAATATTTCTAGTACCTACCTAACCCAATACATAGTTACTACATTATTATTGTCTGTATTCCCTATGCGGTATGCACTTTATTTACATCTGCATAACTATTTTGTAACTACCAATTTGTACTCCTTAATCCCTTCACCTTTTTCACCTAGTCCCCTAACCTCTGGCAACCGTCAATCTGTTCTCTGTATCTATGAGTCTGTTATATAAGTGAGATCATGTAATACTTGTCTTTCTTTGATTGACTTATTTCACCTAGCATAATCTCCAGATTCATCCATGCTGTCATAGGGTAAGAGATCCTTCTTTTTGCCTCGGATGGTTTGGCTCAGCCGTTAGAGTGTCGGCCCGCAGACCAGAGAGTCCTGGATTTGGTTCCCGCTAAGGGCATGTACCTCGGTTGAAGTTTGTCCCCGGCCCGGTTGGGGTCCTGTGGGTGGCTACCACTCAATGTGTCTCTCTCCCATCAATGTTTCTCTCTCTTCCTCCTTCTCTCCCTCCCACTCTATCTGAAGATAAATGCAAAAAATGTCCTTGGGTGAGGAAATAAATAAATAAATAAATAAATAAATAAATAAGCTAGATTTTTTTTATCCACTCCTCTATTGATGGACACTTGGATTGCTTCTATATCTTGGCTATTGTAAGTAACACCTCAATGAACAACAGGGTGCATATGTTCCTTCAAATTAGTGTGTGGGTTTCTTCAGATATATACCCAAAAGTGGAATCGAGAAGTGTTGATATATTTTACTAGAATGATAAAAAAATAACAATAATAATAATAATATAAAGTGATTTTCTGAGACTGGTGATATTATCTAAAGACAATTATCTAAAATTATGAATATAAATGAAATTAATAAACACTATTGGAGACAACATATTACTCCACACATATAGCAAAATGCATTCAGGAAAAACAAAAAAGATGTGATTGTTCATTACCAACTTGTTCCCTCTCTCTCCTTCCCATACCCATTAGTAATACCTGATGATACTACTGCCTTCCTCAAATTATCTCCTCCATATCTAAACCTTGCCCATTCTTCAGTTTGGGTACTGTTTTTATCTCCTACCTGGTTTTACAATTTAGTCTTTTCCCAAATCTTCACTCTGATGCCAAATTTTCTAAAATCCAAATCTGATCTTGTAATTGAAATCTCAGTGATCTGCCTCCTGCTTCTCTTATCCACATCTCTCACTGTTCCCCTCTTAAAACTATACTCAACATGTTGAACTTCTTGCTTTTACGTAAGCTGTCTCTTCCTCTGTAAATCTCTCTCTGATCCACATGTACTTTTGACCATTCTGTCCCTGGTTTCCCAGGCTGTTATATGTACCTGTGTATAGCAACTACTATAACATGTTTGTACTTATTACTTATAGATCAGTTTTTCCCTCTAGACTGTGAGATCCCTACAGATCTAAAGAGTCTCTTGTTTATTTTTTTAAATCTCCAGCATTTAGTACATAGTAGGTATCAATAAATTTGTCTCAAATGAATTTAAAGTATATTGTTAAGCCCAGCTGGTGTGGCTCAGTGGTTGAGCGTTGACCCATGCACCAAGAGGTCGCCAGTTTGATTCCTGGTCAGGGCACGTGCCCAGGTTGTAGGCCAAATCCCCACTGGCATGCAGGAGGCAGCCAATCGATGTTCTCTCTCATTGATGTTTCTATCTCTCTCCCTTCCTCTCTCAAATCAGTAAAGAAAAAAAAATGTTTTTAAGTATATTGTTAAGAGAATGAAAAGACAACCATAGACTGTGAAAAAATGTATCTGCAAAACACATATCTCATTAACTATTGGTATCCAGAATACACAAAAAACTCTTCAAAATCAATAATAGGAAAACAAGCACAAAATAGCAAATAAGCTCATGAAAAGATATTCAATATCATTTGTCACCAGGGATTAACAAAATAACAAATCTATTAAAATAACAAATCCAGCCCTGGCCAGTGTGGCTCGACGGTTAGAGCGTCAGCCTGCGAACCAATGAGTCGTGGGTTAGATTCCAGTCAAGGGCATGTATCTCAGTTGTGGTTCATCCCGGTCCTTGGTCAGGTCATGCGGGAGGCAACCAGTTGATGTGGCTCTGTCACATTGATTTCTCTCTGCCCCCCTCCCCCCATCTAATGATAAATGGAAAAATCCTCAGGTGAGGAATAAAAAATACAAAATAACTAAAATCCAAAACACAACACCAAATGTTGATGAGGATATAGAGCAACAGGAACTCTCATTCACTGTTAGTAGGAATACAAAATGGTACAGCCGCTTTAGAAGACATTTTGGTATACTCTCACTATATAATCCAGCAATTGCATTTCTATTGATCCAAAGGAGCTGAAAATTTGTGTCCACATAAAGACCTGCACACAAATGTTTATACCAGCTTTATTCATGATTGCCCAAACTTGGAAGTAACCAATATAGCCTTTAATAGATAAATGAATAAACAAATGGTGGTACATTCATACAATGAAATATTATTCGTCAATAAAAAGAAATGAGCAATTGTCCTAACTGGTTTGGCTCAGCAGTTAGAGCACTGGCCCTTGAACTGAAGGGTCTTGGGTTTGATTCCCGGTCAAGGACACATACCTGAGTTGCAGGTTCCATCCCCAACCCCAGTTGATGCGCATGCTGGAGGCAACCAATCTATGTGTTTCTCACATCGATGTTTCTCTCTCTCTGTCCCCTCCCTCCCTTTTCCACTCTGTCCAGAAATCAATGGAAAAATATCCTTGGGTGAGGATTGAAAAAACAACAACAAAACAACAAAATATATATGTATACAGAGAGAGAGAGAGAGAGAGAGAGGGAGAGAGGTAGTATACAGAGTTGGCAAAGGAGCTGATTGATAAAGGGAATCCTTACTATTGGTGAGAGTATACTGTACTGGTGCCTTTTAAAAAAATTATAAAACATTTTATTAAGAGATTAAAAATTGGCCCTGGTTGGTTTGGCTCAGCAGTTAGAGCGTCGGTCCGTGGACCAGAGAGTCCCAGGTTCGATTCCCGCTAAGGGCATGTACCTCGGTTACAGTTTGTCCCCAGACCCAGTTGGGGTCATGTGGGTGGCGACCAGTCAATGTGTCTCTCTCACATCAATGTTTCTCTCTCTCTCTTCCTCTCTCTCTCCCTTCTGCTCTATCTGAAGATAAATGCAAAAATGTCCTCTGGTGAGGATACACATTAAAAAAAAGATTAAAAATGGTCGTTTCAAGCCCTGGCCAGTTTGGCTCAGGGGTTAGAGCATCAGCCTGCAGTCCAGAGAGACCCAGGTTTGGTTCCCGCTAAGGGCACGTACCTTAGTTGCAGTTTGCCCCTCGCCCTGGTTGGGTCATGCGGGTGGCAACCACTTGATGTGTCCCTTTCACATCGATGTTTCTCTCTCTCTCCCTCCCACTCTATCTGAACAAAAAATGGGAAAATGTCCTCAGGTGAGGATAAAAAAAAAATTGTGGTTTCAAGGTGCCTAATTTTTTTTTTTAATCTTCACTCGAAGAAATTCTTCCATTTATTTTCAGACAGAGTGACAGAGTGGGAGGGAAAGAGAGAGAGAGACATCAACATGAGAGAGACATATTGATTGGTTGCCTCCCGCATGACCTGGACTAGGGCTGGGAACAGAACCACAACCAA